AACATTTAAAAAAACACAATTAGATTCATATATTATGGAGATATTTTCATATTTTACAAAAAATGTTAAAACACATCTTTCTTCTATTAAATGCATTTTCATATGTGAAGAAAATTAGGCTTTATCAAATGTTTGGAGCTCAATCTGTGAAAAGAGAAGTCAAGTCGAGTTTTGCATCTTTGCTTATAGCTGAATAGAGAATTTAAAATATTTACATAATACTTTTGTCACTATATTAAATCCAGAAATATTATAATTTTATTTGATGCAATAATCTTTATGTCTATATAATATCATACAGTGATTTTTCACTCCATATTACTGAGGTCCAAAAAAAGGCCTCCTCCGAAATGTAATTTAGTTTAAATTCATGCAGTTTTTTCCAAATATCTGAACTTTTAACCAGCCTTTTTACTTTTCAATTTAGTGATTTTAGTGACTTCTTTTCCCCCAAGTCCAGAGGCTATGGCCTTTTCCTAATTTAGTGAGAAAAAACCATTGTCATATGTATACATACTATACAAAACAGGCAACTGTAACTCCAGTCTGAACACACCCCGGGGCACTGAACCAGGTGTGCAGGTAAAAATTGCAATTCCGTCATGACCCCCTCCCTCCCCTGCCCCCACTGGACTTTGCATAGGCCATAATAGGGATAAGATGGGCTAGTTTTACAAGTGACATGTGCATAACAACTTTAATTGCATAACAGAATTATTTCTTTACTTGTTTTTATTTTTAAAATCCAGTCATTTTCCTTGCATTTCTTTTAATGTAATAAAGAGCAAGTTTATCTAAGGGAGACAATTCAAAAAGAAATAAACTTGAGTAATAGAGAAGTAGCTCCCCTTTACTGTTGAACTAATTTATGCAAAACAATATTAATTGTTGGACATTATAGTTGTTTGACATGCATTAGATACTTGACCATGTCATGCTTATATTAGAACTTATGTTTGCAAAGAAATGAATAAAATAAAATAAAAAATCAAATGAAAAATGGTTTTAAGTTCCGAGACTGAGAAGGGTGGGGTCCATCAATCGCAACAACCCAAGTCATAATTCTGAGTGACAAATTAAAAAAAAAGAGGGAAAAGAGAGTAGAAATTTGTTCGGTACTAGGTAAAACTACTAATACTGGCACTAATATTTTTTATCTTTATTACAACTATAGAGCTGGTTGATAAACAAGTGTAAAACAAAATCTCATATTTATTTTGTAAAAAAACACAACTGTAGAAGGCAAACGGAAACATTTACTACAGTAAGAAAACACTTTATCAAGACAAAATAAAATTACCCACATTTTTTCTTCTTCTATGCTGTAAAAGAACAAATAATGAAACATTAGACAAAACGTGTAGTTTATTTAGAAATGGCGTGGACTGTCTACGGGACGTAACTCTGCGCAGTGAATCAGAGTTACATTTTTTACAAGCTCATTCCGTCAGTCTTCGAATAAGAACCTGAATGCGGTATTTCGGTCTAACCTACGCTAATGCCCCGGTCACATATTCACGGATAATGCCACGGAAGAGCTACGGTCTAATCGTTCACGGATTACTACGGAAATGTGAAATTTCGTAGTCCGCTACGGTTCCAGTACGGACACACAACGGTTCGAGTACGGAGTCCGACGGATTTACCACCAAAAGCCCCCGGAGAGACACGTATTGTTACGGACCGACACGGTTTGTTACGGAGCGACACGAATCAGGACGGACGCACTACGGATACACTACGGTCTGCTACGGTATAAGCACGGGTTAGTACGAATAAGTACGGTCTGATATAGAGAAGAACGTATTGATACGGAGAAGAACGAATTGCCACGGATCTATAAGGACCTAATACATCCGTCCACAACCTCTTGCTTGCTCGTTTTCAAAATGCCTCAAAAGAAAAGAACACCTAGAAAACGAATTGCAGAGTTCAATGATTTTGGCGGAGAGGACTCGGCCTAATCGCGTCCGACCCCCGAGACACATCAGTTCCGATTAAAGTGAATTTCTTGAAGGACGCTGGATCCTCAACAAGTTCGACCATGAGAGCCTCATACTAAACTTGAAGCGGTCGTCGTAAAAGCCCATCTCTAGTCCACCATCTCGTCTGTCTTCTCTTACCTGATTAGATATGGACTAATCATTAATGAAAAATGTTGATCAATACTGCTTCTCTTTTAATTTTAAGATTTGCTGTTCATCTTACAATTACATTAATTATCGTGATGTTTATGTTTTAAAAATATGTAAAAAGCTTGTTAATTAATCTTATTATCACTCAATGGCCAGCCTCCGAGGCTTATGAGACACTTCGTTTTATGTACATATTTACTCCAATTTCACGATCTAATGTTTGTAAAATATGTAACATTAAATCTTATTCTATAACTTATGACCACTGCCTCCGCATTCTGAGCCATTTCAATATAAAGTTGCAGCCAGTAAATGGCAATTATCATTTATTAAATGTTTCCTCAAATATGTCTGTTTTTAACAAGAAGGTAGTATTTATACCCTTGAAAAAGTACATGATACTTAATTCATCCGTACTAAACAGTGGTGGACCGTACCATTCCGTACCGTTTCGTGTTGCAACGCAATAAACCGTATAAGACCGTGCTAATCCTTGCCTCTCCGTAGTACAACGTATTACGATCGTGGCTTTCCGTGACTATGCCGTATTAATCCGTGTTAAAACCGTAGCTTATACGTAGGGTAACCGTACAAATACGTAGTTCTCCGTACAAAACCGTGGAAATCCTTGACAAGTTGGTGGACTACGAATCAGTACGGACTAGTACGGTTTTCGTACGGACCAGTACGTATCAGTACGGATTAATACGGACTAGTAGGGATACGCTACGGTTGATTTTTCCGTAGCAAATTTTTGTGCATGTTCAAAAATTGTCAAGGATCGCTACGGATATACAAGGACTACTACGATTGATTACGGTTACAATACGGAGAGCTACTGACCAGTACGGGTAGCTACGGACGATGCCGGAATTAATCCGTGGCTCTTCCGTGGGCGTATTCCGTGAATATGTGACCGGGGTATAAGAAACTAAACATGTGAACAAATAGTAATTCAATGCTGTGAGTATTTGACAAGTTTATTTCCAATATATGTAGTTAAAGTCCACATAAAATTAGTGAATTCATAGGAATACATTATTGATATATTTATTATTATGGTTGCAGAAACAGAAATCCTGTTGACATTTAGTCGGATTTGTTTAAAATTGTACATCAGTGGGCATATTTAATTTACAAATTGTTGTGAGACATATTTTCAATCAGAAGAGTACCGAAACAGACATTATTTTTGTTTTGGATGTCAAATATATACATTCGTTTTACTGTTTACATCTGAAACCACGTGGTAGAATTACTTTCAATCCGTATTGTTTCCGAGGTTATTATAGATAATAGCCAAGGATGTTCCGATTGTAGTTTTTATCCAGTTTTAACGGGAAATAAGTTTAAAAGTGTCTTGCAAAAAAATGCATTTTCAGTTTTCATCAGCTTGATTTTCATGGAGAATTGTAGACTTGTTTGGCCGTCAATTCTAATTGCATAAAAACATTGACATCAGTCATTGACATTTTGTCTTACATGCATCATTTTTTGCATGTTTGTTTTGTTTTCATTTTGTTTTGCTTTTTGTAAATATCTAGGAAAGAATATTACTTGAAAGAAATTTTCTTATCATTAAGTATTCCTTTGGTTTCGAACCCCGGACCCGATCATTTTATGTGTATAGAGTCTATGTCAAATAAGGGTCCATCCACCCGTATAAGGCAACAAAAACAGATTTGGCTATCGAGAATGGCCCCTGGACATGCCTTATTATATAAAAGAGGTATAATTTTGAAGCACAAAGTGCTGATAATTTACCCCATGCTATTTCTACGGAGTATTAGAAAAAGATATGAGTTTTGAGTCACTGTACGGCGGTCAATTAGATCCTACAGCAACCCGAGGCAATAATGAAAGGAGATATCCTTTGAAAGTTCTTTGGCGCCAAGAAAAGGGCCTGTCTTTCAAGCCGTCATTCGTACTAGGGACTCATGCACCCTTGTTTACCATCCGCGTCGTCTCTGTCTACTTGTAGGGCCACTCACCTCGGCTTTTGTCGGCAGCTAATCTCATACAGTCTCACCCGTGCCGCCTTAAGACACCGGCTGTCGGAACATACAGGAATATCTAGCTCTCGGGTAACTGTTCAGCGGAAACTAGGCAGAGCCTCGTTACCGCCGTAAACAGTAGCCCTAGCTCGAGCTAGATATTCCGGTCTGTACCGGCAGCCGGTGTAAGATTCATATAGAATAATGATCTGTCGCTCGACGACGTATATGTACTGAGGGGAAGAGAAAAGCCTTAAACACTATCAAAACGTAGTGTCAGGGGAGGTAAATACAAAATAACTATAACTTATTTTATCCTATTTTTTCTCTTTCTTTTTTTTTATTTTTTTAATATTTTTTAAAGAAGAACGTGTGAGCATTTAAGTTGTTTTTTAAATGTTTTCTTAAAAATATTCATCTTTAGCACATCTTGCCTCAGAAACGACTTGTTTTCTTCGTAAAATAAAAGAGCATGTTATGTGCTTGTTACCTGAAAAAAGATACACAATTGTGTAATTATTGTGTAATAAAAGTAGCAAAGTACAAAATACTAAATCACTGCAACTGTACTAATTGCTACAAAACAACAGAAGAAAAAGATGGTTCAGATAATTAACAAGTGAGTATCTTTTTGGAACCAAAAATGAAAAAAAAAAATTGAGAATTAAAAATAAAATCATTTCCGAGGCATCCATTTACCAACTTTAAGCAATTCAAAAAAATACCAACTGTTAAAAGCTCAAGTTAAATATCCAAAATAGATTTAGTTATTCTGACATTAATTATTAGTTTGTGTCATTGTAAATCGTGAATCGTTGACAAAATAGACTCTTCGAAACGTCAGAGCTTGAAGAGGACTGATAATGTAGAGGTTTTGAGCGGGTCGATTATCTTTAAAATAACGCTTGTTGCAATTTAATTTTATATGCCAAGATTGGCATCGATAGCTTTTTGCGATAGTTTTTGCCAAAAGATCACAAATATTCTTGTTATCAGTATTGCAAGCCTTATCTTTATGGTCTATATTTGTACAAAACAACCTTGACACACTATTAAATGGAAAACAAATAAACTGGAAAATATGGAAAGTTATTTTACGTCTGCTTTTATATGTTTCCAATGTATCTTTCTCTGTTTAATTGTTGCAGGCGATATGAACTCTCCGACTGTAAGTACGAAGAATGTAACAGCGCATTATTGTCCGTATCCGTGCACAGTTGGTAATCAGACATTATGTTACCCTCTCCCGTGTCCACTGCCACCATGTGTCGATCCGGCAAGATACCAACCAACCGATTGCTGCCAATATTGCCCCAACGGTAAGATTTTGTACACAATTTATTTGGAATTACACCGATTTTATACGCTTGTAAATTTCTACATATTTGAGCTTTGTGAATATTTTCACTTTCATTGACTGTGACAAGACGAAAAGTTTATGGTTTCTCGTAACCTTTACAGTCATTGGTTGAAGAACCACCTACCTGTTCCGTGTTCAATTTTGTGATGGACCTTTCCTTCATTTTTGAAGAAATAGTAGTACGTGTAGACTGCTCTCTGTTAACATCTTGCCAATTATTATATCTTATTAAGTGAACAAGTGCTTTCTAGGGCAACACTTTAAAAAAACCATTAGGTGATATTTAGCATATAACTCACATGTAACTGTGTGCTATCCAGTGTCCGGTCGCCTGCTTTGTCAAACAAAAAATGTACATGTATATTCAAAATTTCAGGTGCAAATTGCCGAGGCCCTGCAGGCAGTATTATTAAATGGAACCATTGGAAAATAGTTGACGGGAAAAACTGCACATGTAAATATATAGCACAGGATGCTGTATGCGTATAACATGTAAAATTTTTGAAGAGATTCTTATCCAATAAATTATACTGAAAGCACATCATATACTGATGGCGTCCATATATACATGTATACTATTTTCAGTAAAAAATACTAACTGATTTGTCTTCTATATACATGTAATGTATTTTTCATATTTCTAGGGGAAAAAAAAACTCTTACAAAGTCACATTTTTCTATGAAGCAAATCTGCATAAAATTTATTGATATAAAATACAAAATATTCAAAAGCATGTGAATCCCTTCTCTAAACAATCATCTGAGCTCTAATTGAGCGAAAAACATACTAGAAACAAAAACAATTTGTCCATTCAAGTAATATCATCCGTTTACGAAATTTAACTATCGTTACAAAAACGTTTCGTTTATGGAAGAAAAATTTGCAGTCCGCCCGACTATAAATGACTTCTCCTGCAGCAAACATATTCCCCCTGCCCTATAAATCGTCATGTACCTGAAAACCAAAGTGAAAATGTCTAAAAATGATAAAACTGTATGACTGACCGATTGTTACTGATGACCCATTCATTGCATTCGGCTTTAAATAAGACCCAATAATTTTAATTTACTGTACGCAGTCCCTATTTTGTATATATTTGGGATAAGGAGAATAGTTTCCTTACTAAACTATTGAACTCGTTGACTAACATATTTTTATGCTAGCAAGAGTCTCGCATAACATAATTTGATTCAACTTGCTCAATATTTGAAGTCAGAATTGAACCCCTACAGTACAATGTACACTAATTCAACAGCCTCTGTTTCTTTTTTCCATTTTAACTATATTATCAAAAATATCAACTTTTCTAACAAGGCCATTCAAGCAATCAACAAATATCGCAACAACATCTGAAAAATGATGTAATTTACATACATGTTCATGTGTGTGCTCCTCTTCAGAACATGGCATTTCCTCTGGAACCGTCTCCTCTTCTATTTCATTGAATGTTTCCGCCATTTTCGGGAAGAGTTCATTCCAAAACTCGTACTCTCGTGCATAAAGAAACTGTTGAACAGAGCTGTCATCCATAGTTTTATCTAACGTCATATATTTTTGAGTGTCAAGGTCATACTCTGGCCATTCCGGATCTATTTTTAACGGACTGTTTGGATTACTGATAAAGAAAAATAAATAAATAAATAAATGATGAAATAAAATAAATAAAAAATAATATTGCAGATAAGATGCTGAAGTATGTAATTTAGGGAAACAAATTAACGATAAAAATAAATATCAAGTCATATTTTGTTTCACTATTTTACGCCACATCGTCAGTGTTTTAGGCCATGCATGCTTCTCCTGACAGCAAGATATAGTTGGGTTTTACTTCACGCTGACACAGTATAGGTCATATCGCGACGTTCCAGCTTTACTGGTGCAAGAAGACCTCAGGTGCCCCTCATGTATTATTTCAGGCATTCACGGACACCTGAGTAGAATCACTGACGTTCCGTAACCTATAACTGGTTAGAGCACTGTGTGAGCCAGGAGAACTGATGAGCAGATGAGATTGTAATAAGTTGTTTGTATACATGTATATATGAAGACCTGATCCACAATTGGTAAATATGCTATGCTTTTCATTGTCTATATAAATTCATTTTAGGTTATTAATATGATCGTGTGGCGGCGTGGCCGAGTGGTTAACACGTCGGACTAGTAATCTAAGGATTGCTGACCGCGTGGGTTCAAACCATGTCAGGGGCAAGCGGTTGTTTCCTGGAGCAAGAAACTTTACATTCATTGCTTAGTACTGGATGGTTCCAGGAACGGATTCGAGAGTGGTTCAATAAGCTTATAGCTTCCAACACAATCGAACTAAAATAAATTTGTATAAACTAATATGAATGTTCTTACTTATTTTGACTTAAGGCTAATGCTGACTTGACCACAAGATTATTTAAAGTGTGACTTAATATATTCATTGAAATCATTTATATATGATATCTTAATCTTTATTTATTGCAATATGTTATAATAGTTATTGCTTATTTACAGGGCTTTAAACTATATACAGATTAGAACGAAATCAGACTTTGTTGTATTGGAATCCAGGTCTACCAAGTTATTGCTGGCTGGGGCCAGTTAGGTCAATTCTTACTATTAGGGCTGGTCACAAACGCATGAGATTATTTTAGTAATTAAAGAGCAAACTAAGTTTTTGTTTGAACTTATAAGCTTGATATTCTACGCATACATGTATATTAACTTAATTGATTACCCGGTTTTTGCAAAATTTGTCCAGTACTCCATCATCTTTTTGGACAGCTGTATTTCCCATCCAGTGATATTTGGTTTGTCCTCGACGCCAAATATATAGTTTGTTTCTTCACCATGGTCTGCACCTGGGGTCCAACTTGGCGTGGCCATACGCCGGTTTGTCGGGGCTGGCATGAATTTGTACATGTATGATTTGGTTTCTTTCGAAGTTGAATGCAGACGACCGAATTCTACAACCGGAACTGCGACACCGGTATCTCCAAACAGTCTCATAAACTGCATCCGGATGTTGTGAAAGTTTGATGGGTTGGACCAGTCTGTATATTCGTGTTCAATAAAGCGCATGACTGGTTTTGAGAACATTCGGTTGTAAACCATTCCGGTGACAGCGAGTATCAAATTTCCCATGTCTGCAGGCGTTGGCGCAAAGTCTTCTGGGCTGTCTGTTCCTATGAAATATGGAACATAGCATGCTCCCTCGTATGCGTTCATTCCTGCTAGAAAATCAAATGATCTGAAGTTATCCAGTTCTTTATTTTTTTCTGTCTTGGCCAGTTTTGAAATGTCTCTTGGATCTTGCTTTATAAATTCGCCATCAACCACTGGATCATAAAATACATTGTCTAAATTGTCAAAGTTTGCTGCCATATCATTGGCTACGGCCATATATTCTCTCCATGACTTAGTTTTTAGACATTCTATAATTTTTGCAGTGTCGTCTGCTGCACAGTTAAGTCTGTTCGCAATCGAGATCACTTGATCACGTGCGTTTCTTGAACAGTTCATTGGTCTCATTGAAGGAGATCCGCTCTCGGCAATGATTCTGTGAAACAAGCCAACATTCCCCGCAAACATTCCTTGAATAATACTACTTGCTGCTCCCGATGACTCACCAAATATTGTTATTCTATTTTTATCCCCACCAAACGACTCGATATTGTCCCGAACCCATTGCAATGCAAGATGCTGGTCCCATAATCCTAAATTGCTTACCATATTCGAATCATTTGTACTAAGAAAACCTAAAGGACCAAGTCTATAATTGAACGTTACAATTATTACGTTACCGACAGAACAAAGAGTCTTTGGGTCGAATTCTTCCGGAGACCCAAGAACGAACGCCCCGCCATGTATCCAGACCATAACAGCATGGCCTTTATCAAGATCTGCATTTTGGTCAGGTACGAACACATTCAGGTGTAGACAATCTTCATCCTCCGTGCCAAAAACTGGCTCCATTGGATTATAAATCTGGGGGCAAATATATCCATAATCTGAAGCGTGGTACGGGGAATTTAATTCGCCATACGCTTCCGGTTTCCGAAACCTGAGTTCTCCGATGGGTGGTTTGGCATAATGTATTCCGAGATATTGATTTACACTGTATGGAACGCCGCCTGCACTTAACTTTACATTAGTTCCAATGATTTCTCCAATTTTTGTTACAACTCTCGCAATATGTGCGTTTGTGTAAGAATTCAGAATGCAAAATAAAATAATAGAATACAGTGCACTACGAAACATTTTAGCTCTATGTCTTATTGCATGTGTTACAATTGCACTTCATGTACCGAAAATATCATTTTATACACCTGCAAAGCTTTATGATATTGATTTACTCGGTCACATAAAGACATTGTTAAAGTTTTAAACCAAATAAACCCGTATACCTCTTTCGATATAAATAACTTACTATGCCATAATATACATGAAGTCATGTTAATCTGTTTTACACCGGTGTCCTACAAAATGACCATGTCCCACTTGCCACGGTTAATGTTGACTTTAAGCAACCGGTTTTCAATACCCAGTGAACTTTTTGCATTATTCTAATGGAAGAACAGATATTCGAAAGGCACATATATTTAACCAAATATATTAATAACTATATTAGTTATCAGTTATTGTTCATCTTCAATTTTCAGCAGAATGTGGCATTTTTCTCGCATGAAATGTGTTTTCTGTGAATGCAAAGTTTCATTAAAACTTCATTTCAGTTAACAAAGATGGGAATTGTGTAGCATTTTCACATAGATCGCAAAAACAAAACACTGCGAATAAAGAAGTAAAAAATTCAAAGTGCTGAAAGCACTGGATGCGACGGGCAAGAAAATGGAATTGCGTAAATGCTGTCACAAAGGGTCAAACATCACTTACTAGTATGTTCTAAATTCACAAAAGCCAGGAAAATTATATGCCAGATTTTATGGAGCTTGGATAGATACCTGCGATTATGATTCCAAGACATGTATTATACTTAATGTGAAAATTTCAGTATTCTTTCGAAACCTGATGTTAATGTCAGCAGTACTTCCTTCACAAAAAGACCATTTATCCAGTCTGAATATATCTTAGATTCATAGAGTTTACAGTGACCTCCAATATGATCCCGGAAACATAATATACATTTGATTTGGTTTCATTTAATGCCTTCAGTTGCAGGCGCGTCATTAAAAATGTCAGTGAACAAGTGGTTCATTTTTACCGTTTGGATATCACCATGCATATCCAGTATTGCAGGAATGTGCAAATAATGTAAACGTAACGCCGAATCTGTGCAACGCTTTTACCAAAACGAATAACACAGCAAGTAAACGAACCAAAATATTTTATTCTAAATCAAATTTAAAGAAATGAATTAGTGCATACGGCTGCTACGACAGTATACATTAACCAGCATTACATTTTTTTCAGTAATATTTTATCTTCTTTAGATCATTCGTGAGAAAGACAACCTGATTACTGTTTTGAAGGTGACTTTTGAGTTTCGTCAAATAAATATGTACATTTAACACATTTATAACATCATTTTTTTCATATTCTGTATACCTAAGCTTTTGTCAAGCTACAAGTGTCGTATAACAATAGAAGGAAGCTGGTAAAATAAGAATTAGCTACTTTTATTACATGCTTTTCGATGGTTTATAGAAATATATCAGTGAATTAAAACTGATAATTTCACTGTTTGAAACAGTGAAATTATCAATTTGATAATTTCACTGTTTTGAATTTAAGCCCCTTACGTTGTTTCAGTGAAATACAAGCGTACACAGAACTAGAAACCAACTTAATAACGTGACGTCGTAAATGACGACACGTTGTATAATTATTTGGCGCGCTATTCATTTATTATTAGGTAAAAATGTCCTTTTTAACGTTTGATTGCATGTAATAAAAAGAAAATTTGTTTAGATTAGTGTAAGATCGAAATATATTTCACCTCGTGAACACCAAAAGTTCACATTTCACTCGTGGCTGCGCCACTCGTGAAATATACCTTTTGGTGCTCACTCGGTGAAATATATTCCGATTTTACACTGAACTTAACAAATATCCTCTATTTAATGAGTTATGGATAATTACGTAGATAACCGCCGTTGCTTCAGTGCTTCATTCACGAATTCGGCGTTACCTCGTAAAAATGGTCTCTGCTAGATTATGTGTAATATCACACGAGTAGATTGGAAAATGTCTCAGGTACACCGAATATAAAAAAAATCATTAAAGTAATAATTATATACGTTATTGTAGTTAAATATATCAACGAAACTAAAAATCGCCATCAGTACGCTAGTCAGGTTGTCATTTTCACGAATAATCTTGAAAAATAAACATTTTCATGGAAATATTTTTGATGAGGTTGAAAGTATAATGTCTCAGCAACCGTATGCGCTAATTCATTTCTTCCATTTTGGTGTACAATAAAAAATACTGGTCCATTTAAATATCGCGGTGCTCGTTCCAGCCACTAAATTGCACAATTCTGCGTTACTTTTGCACGATTCCTGCGTTATTTGCACAATATCCTGCGTTACTTGATATACACGATATGTGATAGTAGAATATTCTAACACGTTTCACAACATAGCCCTATCAATCAGATAGGATAATACAATGCTTAATGTAATCAATCACCCAAGCCTAATGACCTTCGTGATTATACTCCTGCGCATTTGAACTCGAGCCGTGCATATCTACAACAACGCGTTCAAATTTGATATTTATTTCCTAACCAAAATATTTACGTTATTGCATGCATTTCTGCAATTATCATAAAAGTAGGCCTACTTGTTTGTTTTTGACTTCTAACGGCCTCCTGTAGATATCAAGCACACATGTAATAAATAATTCGACATATTTAACCCTTGCCATGCTAAATATATTAAATGGACTTGTCCATCCTTCAAGCTGGACAAGGCCGTCAGTGTAAGCGAAAATTGACTGAATAGCGAGCAATACAAACCACAAACAGACCAGACAACTCAGTATGCACAGGTTGCATAAGTCGAATCATTTGATGTGACATAATTATGCATAAATAGAGGATATTGAATGAGTGTAAGTTCAATATTGAATTTATTGCACGAGTTGAATAAAATTATGTTATGCGGGCCTCTGGCGAGCATAATATTATTTTATTCAACGAGTTCAATAAATTCAGTAATGGACTTACACGAATTTAATATTCTATTTATCGCATACCCACAATAAAGACCGTTTAAAGTGAAGAAGAGTCATTTTTCATTGACGCGCCTATAGTATAACACTAACATTTAGCGCGACTTTACACTAAGTTTGTATAACGCTAATGACATCACGTCAAAATACATGCACGACCGTGCAATACCATTTTTACGGAGTTGCAAAATCGGCACGGGTGTGTGATAAAAGCTATGATGGCTAATTTCTGCCATGGCATTTTTTTGCTCCGCGAGACACCATAGAAAAACACGAAAATACGACAAGGCACAAATCAGGTACGATAGTATGTGCATTACGTGAATGAAGAAAAAGACTTTCCATAAACATCTTTTATTCAAGAACTAGATATTCATAGCAAAACAATTCATCTTTAAATAAAAATTTATATTTTTGCGTCGACCCATTTTTGAACAAATAAAAAAACAACAAAAACAAAAACGAAATGTTTGATAAATTTTGAAATATTTTTTGTTTTCTCATTTGATTCTATAAAAAAAAGGCTTATTTACCCAATCATTTATGAGACAATTCTGATGCCGTTTGAATTGCATATATCAACGGTGATGGTATAGATTGTTTGTACAGTTTTTCCTCTTTTAATCCGGAAAACCAATGGATATCTTCGAACATATCTTTCGTTTCAAGAATACTGTATCGGCGGGACTCCTTTTTCCTGATACACTTTGCGATGAACTTCCTTCCTGGGCGGGATATAGTTCCTGGCGGAAAGTTGGCTTCAAAATGTTTGTCATTAAGATTTCTTCTAGTTATCTGGGTGTCACTTCCATGGTGTGGGGGTTTGCCGTAGAGCAAGGCGTAAGTAACACATCCCGTAGAAAAAATATCAGTCGCCTCGGTAATGTATTCCCACCAAAGTTGCTCTGGACTGGTATATTCAAATTGTGTTCTCTCACGTGGGCGACTTTGTCGGTCGTCTATAACATCTGCTGTACCAAATCCAGTTAAACATGGATACGCCCTTTCATTGAAAACTATTTTCTGCGGACAGACTGATCCGTGGAATATCTTGTGTTCGTGTAGAAACCGCAATGCCATCATGATGTTGGCGCAGACAAATTTAGCATGCGTCTCCTGAAAAATCGTTTTTGAACTCTTCTCATGTAGTTTTATTAAGTCCTCCAGCGAAATCATAGCGTTTAGGACAGGGAATACTGAGTATGCCTTTTCTTTCACTATCATCGATGTCAATGTTCCAGAACTAATTGTAGATAAACGTTCATAATTTTCCCTGAATTTAATCGGATCTAAACTTTTGTGGGTATGTACACCATGGTCGATAATAGAAGCGACATCGACCCATTTTATTGGCTGCTTTGAGATCCCGGTTTCCCTAAAACTTCCAATTGGTAGAAGATAGTGCTGCTTTTGACGGCGTCTTTCAGCAATATTTGTTGAAAATCTAATGAGTGCACTGGATTTAGCTCTTCGCGCTTTCCCTTTACCTTTTATCGAAACCGTTGAATTTGGTGTTGAAGCTGAACTTTGAAGAGTCAATTTTGTTGTTGTGATGTGACATTTGTCAACAAGTTCCTCTAAAGAATCAGTTTTTGACATATTCAGAACTATTAAAAAGAGAGCAACGTTGTTACTTGCATTGTTTGCACTTTAAAGTTGTCAACATTACGTAACGTCCGCTTCGCGAAACGTAACGTGCGAAAAGGCGGGAGTTTTGCGCAAACTACTATAAAGGTGAACGTTTCGACTAGCGCTAAATTTAGCGATCCGAGTTCCCGCTCGAACATTTATTATATAATTTAAAGATCCGTAAACACTTATATAATTAAGGAAGAAACCGTTTATGTCCGGTATAAAATATATATGGTTATGCATTAAGAATAATGGAGAATTAGAATTAACGTTTTTTGAGAAGCATTATAAATTTAGGGTACGTAACTCGTTTGTATTTGTCAAAATAGCAAAATGCAGTTATCTCTCTTTGTTTGTCTGACAAAATGGTATACTAAATACATATAGCATATTCAATTTTCTTCTGTAAATACAGGATTTTTTTTCATCGAGTGGTATGAACATAAATATAAATATACATATGATACATTTCATACCAAAATATGTAAATAAACACTGTATTTAAAGAAAAAAAGAATTTTCTGTTTATTATGTACTTTATTGTTTATTATGTACTTTATTCTATATATTTTTACCTTACAAATGAGAAGAATTCCCTTTTAATTTTGTTAATTGACTGAATTTAGAAGTAAGTCCGACAAAACACCATTGAAATTACGGAAAATATGTTTCACAGCAGTGAAAAATTAATGTTTACAGTAAATACGGAAACAAATACGCATTTTATTTTATCAATATTTCTCAATATTTAATTTATAAGTACATGATAAACGTGCTATTCAACGGAAAGATGACAAGATTTTTAAAAGCTAAACAAATAATATAATTATTTTACATTCGAAACATACACATCAGTGTCCAATACAAGATTAAAGACCTCTGATCACAGTCGCGCATATAGATGGAATAGTCTACAAAGAAATAAATTTTCTGTTTATTCAGTTAACTCACAAAAGAGATACACATTGTACTATTGAAATTAGTGTTTTAATAACTTACGTCCACGTTTGGATCGGAATTAACATATTTTCAGTCAGTTTGTATAGAGATATTCTTAGAAGTGTAAGCTGCTGGAAAATCAATGATTACATGACTACTTAATATGCGAAATATGCAAAATAAGCAGCAGATATTTATCTTTTCCCTCCATATATATCTTAAGTGTTGGTGATAGGGGAGGGATCCGACGAAATACATTTAATCCTAAGAGCTCAGTTTCTGTTTGTTTGTTTGTTTGTTTTTGTTTCAAGACAGTACTTCTTCTGTGTAATATTAACAGAACATCTGTTCTGTTCTGTTCTCTGTAATATTGTCTGTGCTTTGACACACACAATAAAACATCATTACATTACAAAACAAACAACAGCAACAACAACAACAACAACAACAACAAAATAATAAATAGATAAATACAATTTAAGAAAAATTTAAGAAAAAAATTATTAATGATATTTCGGTGATAAAAAGAAATTTAAAAACATAGGTTCCGTTTATTGCTGTCCTTCCATCTAAAATGTTACATTATGTAGATGATAAGGCGTATAAGTATCGATGTGTAATAAAATTATTCTATCGTAATAATATATTACATTATTAAAATTCGATCAAATTTGGCTTCCGTTCGTTTGGTTAAGAAAATAATAAATATGTTTAAATCGAAGAGAAAATATAGTTCGATCAAACAGAAGTGACTTCAGCATTTTTTTTCAAAGTACTTGTGCGGCTGTGCTTTATGTATTCTGCATATATTATATACAAACATAAATCAAGTACTTAAAATCTTCTGTTACGAAATGATTAATATCGTGTCTTTCAACATTAAAACTCATTTGACACGGGAAGTGTAAAGATGGCAATTTAATGATACTTTTTTGCCAAATTTAGCGGTGTCCAATTTTTACAACCTGTAATAAAGGTGCGATAACTTTACAAAAAATAAAAAAATAATGAAGATAAGAAAATTACAAAACAGATTAAATATAGGCTATAGTGTTTCTTATACAAACATAAAAACTTGTTTTTACGATACGAAACTAAAACTGTCCTCGAAAACGGTGGTTATACTTACACGTTTGAATAGATATAAATTACAGATAAGGAATATAATCCGTGAAATTTCGCCAAAATATTGACGTATTAAACGCGAAAGGAGACATACAAACGCAATGAAAGTCGAGATATTCTCTTTTTTTGCTTTTAATTTTTATAGTTTTGATTTGGAGACAGTTCACTGATAATATCAAGATCGTGAAATAGCATCTATTTGTAATGAAATGATAATTTGGAAGCCATTGTTGTAAACTGGGCCCACCAGACTGCACGGAAAATTAACTCGGTTAAAGTTTTGTAATTACTTTTATAATACAATACATTGTCTGATCCCGGATAAACCCATGTCACGTGTCAGAAGGGCCTCGATGAAAAATACTATGGATTCAAATGACACAACCTTTTTTGTGGAAAAAGGCGTTTATCTCGTAATCTAAAAGTCGTTAAGGGTCATGTCCAACTGTCCACTGAATGTCTATAAGGGATATGCCCGGCTTCCATTTCTGGTACTGTCCACTGAGTGTCGTTAAGGCTCATGTCCAGCTTCCATTTCAGGTACTGTCCACTGAATTACTTTTAGATTCAAGTCTAGTTTTCATTTCTGGTACTGTCCACTGAATGTCGTTAAGGGTCATGTCCAGCTTCCATTTCTGGTACTGTCCACTGAGTGTCGTTAAGGCTCATGTCCAGCTTCCATTTCAGGTACTGTCCACTGAATTACTTTTAGATTCAAGTCTAGTTTTCATTTCTGGTACTGTCCACTGAATGTCGTTAAGGGTCATGTCCAGCTTCCATTTCAGGTACTGTCCACTGAATTACTTTTAGATTCAAGTCTAGTTTCCATTTCTGGTACTGTCCACTGAATGTCTTTAAGGGTCATGTCCAGCTTCCATATCTGGTATTGTCCACTGAATGTCTGAAAGGGACAGTACAGTGTTGAATAACAATTTCCAATTCTTGTTTGTTTATTACTTTAAATTAGCAAGGATTTTAAATGGTCTGAAAGTTTTGAGAGAAGATTGGTCTACAATGGGCACGTTTTCCTTAAGTATTTCATGTATTGATAATTACAATAGAAATGTATCTTCTGGATATTCTTATAATGCATTTCTTAAAAATGATGATAAAGTTCTTAGTGATTGAGTATCAACATTTATGTGATAAATTATATTTGGTGCTATAATCTTATTATTTACTATATAAGTATATGGGCTATCGGATCATATTTTTAACTTTCAAATGGTATACATTATAAAAGGATCAAATGTGCATCATTAAGTTTTATTTGCTACAAAATGCCGAATTTTTCACTTTTTTGATATATCAATGGAATATAATTATAGGAGCTGCCCTTACCAAAGATATACATACATAATTCTTTTGTGGTTTGTTATGTCTGATACTAAACACTATCAGTGTAATTGTTTATTATATTGCAAACCTTCCTATATAGACCTATTCACTTTGAATATTTGAAAAAGAAAACAAGAAGTACAATTTTATAACATAATGCTTGCATATCTATGTTACATTCTACATGTATATACATTCCGCCTGGAACTAATGTCATACTTTGCACGTCTTAAATACATGTGAGCACAGTTACACTCATTTCTGCCAGTTTTAACAATTATGTTTCTTGTTGTAATTGTCAGTCCAGTTTTTAATCAGATATACGCTTATACTACTTTTAGACCGGTTACATGATATGCAATGAATTTTAACATGATACAATGTATATTTAGTCATTAATTAATAACAGTATATATACTTTTATTATTTTGTACTTTTTAGGATGAATCTTGTTTTATTTATTTATTCTATTTATTTAATTATTTTTTAGATATAATTAATGTTCATAGTATGTATGTTGATATTCTCTTATAATTCTCTTGAAGAATTTTCATATGTATCTTTTTATTAAGTCTTTCTTTCTTTCTTTCTTTTTCTTTCTTTCTTTCTTTCTTTCTTTCTTTCTTTCTTTCTTTCTTTCTTTCTTTCTTTCTTTCTTTCTACTTTCTTTCTGTAATAAATATGAAAGAGACTAAAATAAACAAATAAACTATTAAGTAAATGTTAAAGTGTGTGAATTATGTTTGTAAATATTACGAGTTATATCACTAGAAAAAAACTAGCTTGTACATATGATTTCAGTAAAGTAAACTCCATATTAATAATATAAATGTCATTTTCGTATGTAAACAAATGTGAAAAAAAAATCTTTTTTCTTTGTTAAGAAAAAAAGGGGGAAAACATATAAAGTGTTACGTTTTTATTCGTTCAAATAGACAGAAATAGCACTTTCTTTCCATCTTTCTGTACAGTTTGATTTTTAAATCATGCTCCAAAAGCTTGAATAGCGATTGGGCGTCATGCACTTACAAACGCTTGTTTGACGTACTGGGGGCTTCTTTTAAATCTGAACCAATTTACCCGTCAGCCATTGTTTATACAATGTGAAACCGATACCCATATTTGATAGCCCCACTTCAAAAACACTATTCACACCGGCATTCAGGGTAATGACATCTCTAAGGATGTTTCCTTAAGTAAATATTTTTTTAACGCTTGTACAATAATCGATGTTAAAATCTTCTTCTTTTCTATTGTCACTGCTTATTGTAAGATGTTTTGACTGCCGCTATTATTATTTGTAGAAATGTTTAAATGTTCTCGAGTGTAGAATTTCGAGGTGACGTTATTATGGGTATTACGTTTAATAGCCTGGGGCTGTCGGACACTTTGTACCCGTTGTTCTATTCGGTTTCATTTACTCCCTTCCGTTTACCCCGCCACTGGGGAGTGCCTTAAGAATTACGCAGCAGAAATTGATAATTTTTCTCTTAAAATATTTGTTTAAACAGTATTATGTGTATGAGTCAATGTTAAGTGTGTTTGTTGTTTGGCTTTTTTGTTCG